GAAGTTACTGTCAGGCTTTGTTCTCTCTTATTCTTCTTTATAAACCTTCGCCACCAAGTTTTAGTTGCAAATTAAGTGTTAGATGAAGCCTTGAACTTCCAGTTATGTTCAAGGGCAATTGGTGCCCCCCACATTTGAATATTTATTCAGAAAGCGAATGGGCATACATGAAGAAAAAAAACTTTCGCCAAACTTCCGATCATGCATAGCAGTGGTAGTCTATTACAAGAATTTCAGGCGGAATCAATGAACTTCTTCAAAAAGTTTGTTGAACGTCGGCGCCCTCATGTGATAGGACTATGTGGAGAAAACTTGGAGAGTATCCGTCTGCGTCGAGACATCGAGGAATGTTTGAACGCTATGGTAGCAGATGGCGAAATTTCACGAGCTCCACCAGTGTACATCCTGGATAATGAGGCTGCCAAAGTGTACATGTTGTCGAAGGGAGCAATAGTGAGTACCTTGTTTTGCTCATAAAAATGAATGAGCCGAAGTTGACTCGTTACCTATTGTTTTTTTTTCAAATGGCGAGATGTGTAAAGCTCAGCAAGTTTGTCCAAAATGTTTAGCGCTGAGCGTTACTAATTATAGCAAAAAAAAAACAACGTTTTACCTGCGTAACAGCCGTATATTTCGATATTTATATGATATTGCTATCCCTGATAGTGGCCGATATTCATTTTTATTTATATTCACTTATTGCTAATTAAGGCGGAGCATTCCGGCTATCCCCCAACGCTTCTCCAAGCAATATCCTTGGCCCGATTGCTTCTTGATCCACTATGGGAATATGCACATCTGTGGAATGCCGACGATGACATTTTCTGTCTCAATTTTCATCCTTTACAAAGTGAAATTAGCAAGGTAAGTCAAGCTGTTTTCTTTCTGCTTGTTTGATCATCATTCACTCATTTATAGGACGACTTGAGCAACGCGCTTTCACGTGAAATAATAAATCGTGTCAATGAAGTAGGTGTTGATGTTAATAGGTGAGTCAGCACTATCTAACTATTACATCTGAAGACATCATTCTGCGACTGTCGATGGATTGTTTACTTTTG